TTATGTATATATTTATTTAAAGAATTCTTATGTATATTTTTATAAACAGAATACTGTTTTATAAAACAAAATTTTATAGGAATATCTATTTTCATACAATCTATAAAGTAATAATTACAAAACAACTAAAAACTTTAAATTTGTAATAATATACTACAACTGTAAAATATATTTCTTTACATAAGTATACATCTCACTCCATTATTTAATTGGAACGTTAAGCAGTTATTTTTGTATCTCACAGCAGAATATCAAACAAGAAATAATGACTTCAATCAGGTATAAAATAAATATGGCAAGATAAAATTACTTTTAATTTATAACAATACATGTTTTAATGTATTAGGTTATAGTAAATATTTTCTTATTCCAGGTAGTATTATGGGATAAAATAGTACTTCGTGGAGATAATGCTGTACTTGATTTTAAAAATATGAACACAAAATATTATTTCTGGGATGATGGTAATGGCTTAAGGTAACTATTAATTTCCTTTAAATAAATTCTGTTTAAGTAAAAGTTATATAAATTATGGTAAAAATAAGTAATTTAATTTTTATCCCTTTTTCAGGGGAAATAAAAATGTAACATTAACATTGTCATGGAACATTATACCAAATGCTGGACTTTTACCAAGTGTTAATGCTCTTGGTTCTCACACTTTTGCATTCCCATCTGAATATACCTCATTACGTGTGTAATATAAATTTCCATGTATGCAATACATCTATATTCATTGTTTGATAATTTTTTAATTACTCTACACAAAGTCAGTGTACAATAAATATAATGTTATTTTCACATATCATTTGTATTAAGTTACAAACAATTATGTTTCCTCGCTATGTTTATTCTATACGTATTTTCTACAACAATAAAATACCTGAAATTAAATACTTTGTAAAAATATTCAATGCTAAAAAAAATTGAAGACATTTCTTTAATATAATTTTTCTAATTCTTACTTTTGTTAAAAAACAAAAATAATAATTTTGTTATAAAAACGTAACCATGTGACACATTTTTATCACTTTTGCATTTAGTAAAAGTTTTTCAATTTTTATTAATACTATGTTTCATGTAATTTATTATTGCAATTTTTCTCATTTTCACTTGATAACTCATCTTCCTGTTCATCATCGTCGTCGTCATCGTCGTCGTCATCCTCATCCTCATCATCATCGTCATCCTCATCATCATCGTCATCCTCATCATCTTCCTGATCATAAACAGCATAACTTCCAGAAACATAGTCTTCAGATTGATTTCCTAAAATAGAAAATTGCATACATACAGTGGACTATAAAAAAATAAGTGAATATTAAAACATAATTAAGTTTTTTACCATAATAGTTATATCCACTCTCATCATCAGATTCATATGTCCCAGCTTGACTCTGCCTACCAAACTTATGAGTTCTTGCTGCAATAGAATAAATTAATAATTGATACAAAGTTTTCAATTTAACATAATAAAGAAAATTAGTATTTAAAGTAAATATTTATCACATACTTGACATGCTGAGGTCTTTTGTTTGAGATGTTTCAAAACCACATTTTGGACAAGGTATGGGTTTATTTTTTTCATATTTAAATCCTTTTCTTCGAATATGATCTTCACAATAACATGTTTTACATCTCAAACATGAATATTGTCCTAATCGATTGCAAGATTGACCTAAAAGTATTAATTATGTATGAAAAATTAAAAAAATTAAATATATTATATTAGACAATTATATGTAAAATAAATATATAATCATACATCCTATATTCTTACATTTAAAATTCTCTGCTTCCAAGACTTGACATGATGCTTGGTGTTCAAATTGGTCATCTTCACAAAGAAAACAATTACAAAATGAACATCGAAATATTCTACCACCATGATCCCATACACCTCTTTCACATTCTTGACAAACTGCATCTATCAATGGACACATACATGCATGAGTTGTAAGGCAACGTCTTCCATGACAAACCCATGCTTCACAGTAGTCACATATAGCTCCCTATTTAATATATATATATATCATATTTATGTATTTGCAAATTATTATAATGTTAAAAA